CTATAAGAAACAGAATACTTTTCCTTAAAACAGAAGTTCTGGGGGCCAAAAAAAAAAAAAAAAATCACTGTCTTCTAGGTAAACCTAAACTGTCTTCTAGGTAAACCTAAAACATAAACCATTCTGGTGTGCGGAACTGGTGAGAGTTTGCACAGGGATTCCCAGAAACATAACCATTTATAGAAGCAAAGAAAGACCTTTCTCCTTCATCTGCTACATTGAGATCTTCAGATCAGCTTCTCCCAGGAATTGCTGTCCCCCTGGAAACCCTGCATGCTCCCATCTGTACAGGGCCCGTTCTTTCTATGCACTGACTTCCCATTCACTTGAACGCTGGCGCGTTGAGTTAGTGATCCCAGGGAGGGGCGAGCCCACTTACCACTCCTCTCTCCACTTTTTCTTTTCCCATGTCCTCTCAACTGTGCATTCAGGATTAGTTTTCCAGGTTCCTTGTTTGCGGAAGGCTTGAATCTAAGCCGGCTAGCTGTGGCTAGCTGCTCTCTGCCATGACTGTAAATGTCACTTTTAGATTAACTGGCCCCTGATGTTTAAAAATATCCTGGGCACACTTAACCTTCAAGGCACCAAAGAGAGCGGTAATAACCCAGGCAAAGTGGGTAATAATCCGGCACCAAAGCGTTAGTAGGGCATTTTCCACCTTTTAATCCCGTAATTTACTTTACTTCAAAATTCTTAAGACATCTAAGCCACAAGGTATCTGAAGTCCAAGTTTTAAGCAATACAAAGTCATGTTGGCCCTCCTAAAACATGCGGAAAATTAACTGCATACAAGATGTTGGTTGTTTTGAGAAATAGCTTCTGGAACAAGTCCTCGGTGAATGGGTTCAGGTGATCACTACGAATAAAGATCACCTGGCTTCTTTCCCTGGAAAAGATTTGGCAAATGCCATTCAAGAAATAGTCCTATGTCTTGGGACTTGGGGAAAAACAAAAACAAAAACAGCTCCATTCCCATTTAGGGTCTGCTGGCTCTTGCTAAAGCTGGGAGAAGAAACCCAGCATAAGCGCTGCAGTTACAGAATGTTCTGCCACATGGGGAGGGCTGGTGGCATGTGGGACAAAGGTCACCTCCAGTTCCAAACAGGAGCTGGCAGCAGGAAAGCAGAGGCCACACAACAGGGCACTGTGCTCCAGTAAACCAGGGTGCATCTTACTAAACAGCAAGTGGAAAAACTTGCAAGAGCTGACCTTATGCAAAAATGGTTTAAATGGGGCTGTGCCAGGTGCAGCCTTTACCCTGCTGGAGAAGCTACTTCATTTGTGGGCTTGTTTTCCAAGAAGGAAAAGTCATCCAATAGTGGACTTCTTGGAATTTTCTCCACTGGACTTCTAAGTAGGAAGTACATGTCTTGACTGCTCTTGTGTCCTCTTGAAATCTCAGTATCGTCAGCTGCCACCTGGATAGTGTCACATCTGTTTAATAGGGGTTGAGGATGAAATAATGCAGGTTGAGGGCTTAGCACAATGCCTACATATCTTAAGTTCTTAATTGGCAGCCTCTATGATTGTGATTAGATTATTTATCAAGACTACTTCGCGCTCTAGAGTAGCTCATACAATTCTTTGCCCACCAGGCTAGGCAAAGGGAGCATTCTAAATAAAAATACCCAAATTATAGACACGTATGTCCTTTCATGTTTCCTGGAAGAGTCATCTGTGACTTAAGGGAAAAAAAAAATTTTAACTTTATTTAAAATTCCTCCCCAATGATGCCAAATAATTATGATCTGGGCAGAGTGTCGATAGTGGCAAGACTATTAGGCTTTGCAATCAGGTTGGCGTGGGTTTGAATCCTAGCTCCATTACCTGAGGCTTTGAGCAAATGGCCAAGCCAGTATCCTCGCCCAACTATCTCAATATATGGTTGAGAAAACTAAATGAAAAAACATACATTGAGCTTCTAGCATAGTGGCTTGCTCATAACAGGCACTTAATATCTTTCTAATGAAACTGCTTAAAAGGACTAGAAACACTCCCCACTCCCCTTACACACTCTCTCTCTCTCTCAGATGAAGAACTCTCTGGTGGCTCAGCTCTCCCTTGACTCTCTTTAAGGCACGGGTATTTTCTAGAAGCCAAGCAGAAGGCATGAAACCAGATATTCACAAACTTTTCCCACCAAACACAAGAACATTAACAGAAAAATATATTTCTTTAAGCACATCTTAGATTCAGAAAATCATACATATCAAGACATTTGCCTGCCTCTCCGCCCCCCCCCCAAAAGTGACCACATGGCCTTAAGAAAAAGGGCACCTGGAAGGAAGTTGCCAGTCCTGCTGCAAACAAGACATTTTATAAAAATGCCTACGCCTTCTCTTCCCCCTAAGGGCCAATTAAATCAGAACTTCTAGGAGTGGGCCTGGCATTAATCTTTTTTAAAGTTTCCTGTGGTGAGGCTTGAAGAGCACTCACTGTTTGAAGCCTCTGGACCCCCACTCTGTCACCATAGATACCACTGAGGGGGACACAAGGACACAGGAAATATACAACGGAGCAGCAAAGAATGCAAAGCATTGATTGACCTCCTGCCTGGTCTGCCCCACTCACCAGTATCTGCATTTCCAAACACACTTCAAAATTTAAAAACTGGTTCCAACCGAGGTAAACAATAATTAGGTCATGATATCCAAATTAAGTGTCAGAAGTACTCTAAATAGGAAAAGAGCCATCTTTCTCAGTTTGAATTACCACCAGTCAATAAGCCAGGACCCTCCAGAGTAGCCAGAGGCCTCTAACTTGTATACCTCCAAGGTCTGACAAAGAGGAAAAGCCACCGACACACACAGACACACCAAAAAGTTTGCTTCTCCAATCTAAAACTCTAAGACTTTTTATGCCAGGAGCAAACTGAAGCAGAAAGTGAATTTTAAAAGTGGGCAGGGAGAGAATGTATTATCTTATCTAATAATGGAAGCATACTAACAATATGCTAAAGTCTAAAAAAAAAAAAAATTCACATTCCCCTATCTTGCCCTGCTGGACTCCAATCACAGATAGTGACTTTCACATGATTATTTTATAACTTGGGGTTCCCAGGACAACATTCTGCATAACTGACTTCCTTGTGTTTCCAAAAGGCCTCAGCAGATGCTCCTCTCCTTGCCTAAGGATGAAACAGGAATCATTTTGGGTGTCCAGGTTCTCACATACTCCTACAGCAAGCCACACACAATTGCCCAGAGTGGGAGGACACAACAGATGGGCTCTGGCATTGCTGATGTCTGAATAGGAGCACTTAGAACAAGAGTCTGCAAACTATAGCCTGTGCTGCCTGATTTCCTATGGCTCCCAAACTGAGTGGTTTTTACATTTGTTAAATGCTTGAAAAAAAATTAAGATTTCATGACATGTGCAAATCAGATTAAATTCCAATTTCAGTGTCCATAGTTTATTGGAACGCATCCACACCTGTTCATTTATATTTTGCATGTGGCTGCTTTCTCTAGAGTAGTTCCCAGAGACAGGATGACTGCAAAGCTTATCATCTGACCATTTACAGAAAAAATATGCTGACCTCTGACCTAAAAGGCCAAAATTGCCTTTTAGTACACAGATATGCGTAATTTCAGTCCATAAAAAAGTATTTTGGAATATCTAGTGCTATTACTGCAGCAAATTGAAAATGTGAAAAAAAACACAACTATATAGCTAAAAGTTCTTCGAAATGAGCCTTGTTCCTAAAATGTTAGTGATTAAATTAGTATTATTTGGGGGGAGTCACAGACTATTTAAGATGCTGCTGTGTCGCTTAAAGTGTCACTATACTAAGATTCAATATTTTTTAAAACAGTAAGTTTGCTGGTAGAATTTATTTTTATTTTTTAGGTGAGGCAACCCTTGGTTGACCTCACAGATTGCAAGGAACTTGTCAGCTTACAGTCCCTTTATTTTTCATGCCTACAGCACCTGGTCTTCCTAGGTGGTCTCCCATCCACGTACTAACCAGGTCCGACCCTGCTTAAGCTTCCGGCTTGTTCAGGGTAGCATGGCCATAGACTAGAATTCTTTATAGTTAACTCAGTTTACTGCTTGCTTCCTTCCTACTCACAGCACTGCATTGTGAAGGAAGTGTCAAAACCAAATGGATACAAAAATATTAGCCCCTCATTTCTCCCTTGGATAAGGAAGCCCATTGTAATGCTGAGAACCGCAAGGCACCAGAGTGCAAATGAATGCATCTTTGTGTTGTGTCTTCCTCTGTGAAAGCCTGCTTGCCGATGATAAAATGTGGGATCACAAGCCCTACTCCCCCAAAATCGAAAAACTAAGGCCTTGAAAGGCAAGTAATATTCTCAAGTCAAAGTAAGGTTTCCAACTCCCTGCTTTCATAAGAAACGTCTGTGCCGGTCTAAGTGTCCTCGACCTCCTGATCGCTTTTACTTCCTTCATCTGACACCAGGGGAGTCCAGTCTTTCATCTAGATGGGCCACCCTCACTACTCCAGCCAAGTGCTGGCAGGTCAGTGGGCCATCAGGGCATCTTCCCAGTGCCCCAGCCTCACACCTCAACTGCAGGTTCCCAAGTTGAGTCTGGAAACACTAGCAGAGGGAGGGTGGGAAAGCTCTCCTCACACCATCCCAGGGCTTGGCAGGACACAGCCATGACACAAAAGAATGCTTTCCGCCACAGCGGCTCCTTTAGGATCTCACCATACCCTGACCCCTGTCTAGTCTCCCCACTGCGCTAGGGTTCGGGGCACAGACTCCAGCTTGGGTGGGGCACGGCTCGTCCTGGCCTCTCAGTCCGCTCGCGCCCTTCCAGGGAACCCAGCCCGGGGCTTACCGAGGCCTGGCGGAGCGGGTGGGCAGCTCCACCGGGTGGATGTCGGTGCAGAGGCGGGTCTTCCTGCCCACAATGGTTGCCATGGATACCACAGCCCCGGGGCAGGAGGTGGGAGTTAGTCGGCGCCCCCGCCCAGGCCCAAAGCGGGCTGAGAGGCTAAAGGACACTCAGTATAAAGAGTACTCGGCACAAAGTGAAAGTTCAACAACCTTTTATTACCAAACTCAAGCAGGGTTAACTCTTAAACCCCACTAACAGCAAAAGAGAATCTCTAACAGGATCTTAGGATGGAGGTACAGACCTAATAAAGACTGTCTCTTAAAGGATTTAAAAAAATACGTATATACACCTGCATAAGTATTTTTTAAAAGAGCAAAATTCTCCAGTGCTGCAGAAACAGATATGCGTAACTGCAGTCCATAAAAAAACAGCATCTGGCACTATGCTACCTTGAAAATTCAACTCAGGATGCATGTAGAAAAGCATTTCCTCTCTTAAAAAAAAAAAAAAAAAAATCCCCCTTTCTCCTTCCTCCTGTTGAACTTCCAGGGCTTAATCCTAGAAACACCTGAAGAACAGTATAAACAAGGCCCAGCCCACTTCTCTCAGCCTCTGCCAGTCTGCAAAGCTTCACAAGGATTGCTCCTTAGGAATTTTCACCTCTACTACAATCAGAAAATTGATCCTGAATTTCTGTTCACTTGTAAAAAAATGCCCTCATATTTCCTTCAAGGAAGGGCCTGAGGGCTCTGCGAAGGATCAAAGGGGCAGTGAACCCAGCCAAGACTGGAACACCACCAGGCTGGGCAAAGGGAGCATTCCAAATAAAAATACCCAACACCTTATAACCTAAAATCTAACCTACCAGGTAAAAATAAGTAGCAGCTTGCTGTACCAAAAAGGTGCTTATCTTTCCCCTTAAACCGTTAAGGTAACGGCAGAAAGGAGAGTCTAGAGTATTAGACCTTCTCTCTCTTCCAAGTACTTTGACACATATTCTAAGCCAAAGCCACGTTTGCAAAGGCAGACATGTGGTCACAGGGTAGTCTTTGCTGTGTCCAGCTGGATAAAGCTGCCACTTCTATGCAGGCTGGCTCATGACTGCTTTACCAAAATTTTTTCCCCTTGTACAGAGTACTTAAGAATCACTAGGGAAATTATTTTTTCAATTCAACTTTGTAACTGACAAATACTTCAATAACAGTTTCTAGAAAACTGCCTGAAGACCCCCTTGCCCCAGGTCAGGGGTCAAAGATCCTTCCAGTCGATGGGATCCTTGCCGGACTTCTGCAGCAGCTCGTTGGCTTTAGAGAAATGTCTACATCCAAAGAACCCTCTGTACACAGACAAAGGGGAGGGATGAGCAGTCTGCAGCACATGGTGGCGCTTCTGAAAGAGAACAAGAGAATGACTAAAAGGTAGTAGGTACATTTGGGACTTTATGGCTGTTGCACTTGAAGACGGCTGTGCCATTCTCTTTGCTTTCTAAATTCTCCCACTTTTCAAAGTGTATGTACTTGCCTCAGTGTTCGTACTAGAACATCAATGCATTCATTTATTCATTTGCAAAGCAACTCCTTTTGCTAGGCTCTGAGGCCATAGAGGACTTGGCACCATCTATTCAATGTTTAAGTGCCTATACCTTATTATCTAGCAATTCCACTGCTAAGAATATATTTGCTAAAGCACATCATGATGCATATACCTACACAAAGATGCAGGTTTAAGGAGGGTCACTGCAGCGCTGCTTATAGAGGTAAAAGCTAATATAAATCCAGTGTTATACAACTGGCTAAAAATATTTTTCTAAAGTTCTTACAATGCAACACCACATGGCTGCTAGGAGAATAAGGCCAAGTTACATATGCTGATTCAGGAAGATCTCCAAACTATATCAATTGAAATAAATGGAAAAGTGCTAATTGCATTTAAAAAATGTTGAGGGGGGAATACCTGAGACACTACTTAGAGTAGTTCCTTCAGGAAAAAAACATAGTGGAAAGTATTTACTTTCTATTTTGTACTTTTCTATACTATCTGAATTATCTCACCACAAAAATGAAATACTTTGATTTTTTTAAATGTCAACTATAGGTAACTGAACAGGAAGATTATAGACTTTTGTTTTCTTCTTTATTCTTTTCTGTATTTAAATAAAAAACACCTAATAATTGTTTTCAAAACATCCCTGCCTTCAAGTAGCTCAGTCTAGAAAGGGACATAACTGAAGCCAGGAGGGCCCAGTATGGTTAAGAGCAGAGCCTGGAGCCAGATGGCCTGGGTTCAAGTCCTGGCTCTGTCACTTAGTAGTTAGGTAGCCACGAGGAAGTCGCTGACCTTCTCTCAGCTGCAGTTTGAGTATCAACATCTAGCTCCCGGTTACTGTGAAAGAACAAATGATCATGTAGTACAGAGTATTATGAGAATATAGATCAAGTGTCTGGCAAGCAATAGAGGCCCCTGAAAATGTGAGCTGTGCTGAGCTTTGAAGGATGCTAGCCTCTGGGGAAGGCAAAAAAGTGGGGCTCAGAAAGAAATCTAGGCGGTTTAGTCAGCCTGGAGTTCTGAGTGAAAAGAGGGGAGCTATGGCTGAGAGGCAGACCAGGGCTATGTCCAGGACCCCACCTTGTCAGCCTAAGCCAAAGCCTTTCAGGGAGAAGGCATCTGACTGCCCCAGGGAAGATCAGAGGAGGGCCTGAACTAAGACAAAGGTGGTCAAGTGGGATGGGTTTGAAAGACAGTAGAGAAGAAAGGCTATAAGTGACTGACTAACAATATGGGATGAAGAGAGCAGAAAGACAGGGAGAGAAAAAAGGAGAAGAGGGA